AATAATAAAGTATCTGATATAAGAAGAAACAAAAACTAAAGAGAAAACAGAAATAAACAGAGATGACTCAATTATTGGCATTATCAAGAACAAACTTTAAAGTAATTTTGATTAATATGTAAAAAAAATGAATGACAGAGGGGTCTATAAAAAGAAATTATATAACTTAAAAATGCAATACTAGAAATTAAGAACTTGATAATAATGTTTAATAGCACACCAGACACGACAGAATTAGGAAAAAAATTAGGAAAATTAGGAAAAAACATCCAGTGTGAAGCATGGAACAATATGAATGGAGAATAAAGAAATGAGTTTAAGTGACATATGGAATATGACTAAAATGTCTAACAAGAAACTGAGAGTCAAAGAAGGGAAGGAGAGAGAATATGTGACATAGAAGCAATATCTAATCAGATAATGATGAAGAATTTTCTAAACCTATGAAATACACAAAGCTACAGATTCAAGAAGTACCACAGGCTCCAAAAGAATAAATATAAAGCACATCTAGACATACCATGAAAGTTTTAAATGTACATAGTTACCAATTTAAAACTTTATATCCAGCAAAATTATCCTTCAAAAGAGAAAGCAAAATAAAGACATTTCCACACAAAAACTGACAGTATCTGCCACCAAGAGACCACATTAAAATAAATACTAAAAGGACCTTTTGAAAAAAATAAAAAATAAATAAAATAAAATAAAAGGAGGTTTTCAGGAAGAAAGAAAATGATTCCAGATGTAAAAATGGAGATGTAGGAAGAAGTAAAAAATAATAGAAACAGATTATATGTGGTTAAATATAAATGAATACTGATTGCAACAAAAACAAAAATACCCTGTAGATTCTAAATATATATTGAATTAAAATCTATGACTACTATTACAAAATGGTAGGAGAGGATTTAAAGCATTCTAAAAGCTTTAAAAGTGGTAAAAACATTTATATTAGACTTTACTAAGTCTAGAATGCATGTTATAATATCCAGAAAAATTCAGAAGTCCTATTAATCCCCCAAAAAGAACAATACAGAGAGGAAAACAGAACATAAAACATATGGAACAAATAGTATGAATAGTAGGTCACAGATTTAAAACCAATTACAGTACAGGAGTTACAGTGTGTAAATGCACTAAATATCTTAATTAAAAGACTCAACTATGAAAAACAAATAAATATGCTGCTTACAAAAATACCAAAGCTTAAACATAAGGAAACTGAAAGGTTAAAAGTAAAAGGATAGGAAAAGATATACCATGCAAATACCACAAAGAAGCTGGAATAGGTATCCTAATAGTAGGTAAGTAGAATTTAGAAATCATTTCCAGAGATAAAGAAGACATTTTAATAAAATGGTCAAATCTACCAGCAAGATTTAATACAGAATGTGTACACATTTAAATGATCTAGCTTCAAAATATATAAAGAAAATATTGAAAAAACTAAACATAAAATAGCTAAATTCACAATGAAAATAGATTTTAATAGATCTCTTTCAATAAACTGATAAAATGGACAGGGAAAAAAAGGTTCTAAGAATATAGCAGATCTGAACAATATTATGGGCAAAATCTATCTAAATAGAATGCTATTCCTCAAACAACAAAACACACTTTTTCCCCAGTGGACATTCAATATTCATAAAAACAAACCCAACCATATCCTGGGCCATAAGATAAGTCTCAACAAACTTCAAAGAATTAAAATCAGAATATGTTAATAGACCACAGTGATATCAACGTAGAAAGCAACAATAAAAAGACAACCAGGGCTTCCCTGGTGGCGCAGTGCTTGGGAGTCCGCCTGCCGATGCGGGGGACGCGGGTTCGTGCCCCGTTTCGGGAGGATCCCGCGTGCCGCGGAGCGGCTGGGCCCGTGAGCCATGGCCACTGAGCCTGCGCGTCCGGGGCCTGTGCTCCGCAAATGGGAGAGGCCACAACAGTGAGAGGCCCGCATAACGCAAGGAAAAAAAAAAAAAAAAGACAACCAGAAAACCCCTAAATATTTGGAAATTAAGCAAAACCCTTCCAATCCATGCATAAAAAATAGAAACGAGAAAGTATTTTTAACAGAATAAAAATACAACATATCAACACTAGTAGCTGTGCTTAGAGGAAAAATTACTCTCTTAAAAGGCATATGCTGGGAAGAAAAAAGACAGAATATCAATTATCTAAGCATCCATTAAGAAGTTAGAAAAATTACAGCAATTTAACCCAAATATAAAAAAAACAACACAACAACAATAATAAAACAGAAAACAAATGTATAATGAAGGGAATCAAGCAAGTGACATTTTGGTCTTTAGAAAAACTGCCTTTGTTGGGCTCCCTTAAAACTGTGTGCTGACATATTACTAAATTCTGGCCAAAAGGATGTGAGCAGAAGTGGTATGTGCAACTTCTGGGCAGTGCTCTTAGAATGGGCATCCCTTTTTGCCTTCATGTTCTCTCCTTACCACCACCACTCACCCCCAGCGACCTGCAACGTAGGTACACTGTGAACTATCTTTGAACAAGCAGATTAAGTTACAGCCTACGAATAGTGGAACAAGATGGAAAGAGCCTGGTTCCCCTACATTACAGCAGAGCCGTTAAACTGAGTCATTATTCCATGTTTCTAGAAAGAATACTTAGTTCTACCATGCATTAGCTACCTTTTGGAGGGGGGACCTCTTGTTACAGCAGCCTAATTAATATCCTAATACAAAATTTCATACCTAAAAATTGGCACTACTGCAACAGAGTAAAAAGTATCTGTGACTGATTTAGCAACTGGATAGACAAGGGATACATCAAAATACAAAGCTGATAATTCTAACAATGCTACAGCAAAATATTTGGTAAAACTGCTACTGGTGGTACCTAGGAAGACAGACCATGTTTTTAACAACAACAACGAAAAAGCCTAAAATTTTAGCTAGACAAGTCTGGCTAGAATCTTGATGTGTATTAGCTCCTTCTTTCTATAGTTTGCAAAGGCCTATAAGAGAAGGGAAAACACTGAGGAGAGCCAAGCTCTAAAGAGGAAACTCAGCAAGAAATAAGACTGTGGCTGCTATTTTTTCTCTGGCAATTTTTGTTAAGATCAGACATGGGAGCCAAAAAAAAAAAAAAAAAAAGATAACAGATGTGGCTATCCCCCTCCCCCAAACCTACTGTTAAAGTAGCCTTTACTAAGTCAGGATGAAGGGAGGATAGGCAGATTAGTAAATAAAACAAGAGTTCTATAGCCAAAAAAAACCACCCTGTGAATAAATAGTAGCTTTGGATATTAAGGTTACTTACAAATGGAACCACCGAGATGGCAAACTAAACGTTTAATGAATTAAGGACTGCCAAAGAGACCAATATCTGGCATACAAAAGCTTGTTATTATTAAAACTGCTAAAACAATCTCCAAGTAATAAACTCAACAGGAAGTAAGCTGTGAAAACAGTGCAGTTCCCGAAAAAAGAAAACTGCCACTTCAGTTGTGTCTACAGTGGATAATGATTAAAAAAAGAAAAAAACTCTCAGAGGGGAAAGCCAGAGCCACGTGAGAAAATGAGGACAATGTCCTTTCAAGAGAAAAAAAATCAAAGACTCCAACTCGGGCTATCCAAGGAATTTACTCCACTGCTGGAGCTTAAAGTTTTCACAATTCCACTCAGCAGGATATGATAATTGTTATGAATCCATGACTGCAAAGTGTTTCCCATTCTTTCTTTTTCTGAATGGGTTTTTAAATTGCAATTATCCTGTCCTAACAGCACTGCTATACTAGTGGTTGTGTAGATAGTGGTGAAGTGTGTGCCTGTTGAAAAGTGGTAACTTATTTGTCTAGTACTTACTATACTGCCAGATCAAAAGAAGTCACATGCAGACTCAACAGAGAAAACTGTCACCTAAAGATCTTGAACTCTGAGTTGAGATTTTAACCCTTGAGGAAGAAGTGAATATGTTCTATGGGTGAGAAAAGACAAGTATGGATTATCTGTATGAACAAAGGAAGAAACCTTTGAGTGGACTGTAAGAAGACTCTCTAGTTGCCACCTGTTATCTGTTCTCCTTTTCTTCCACAGTAACAGAAGTTTCATCTGAGCATAACATAGCTCAGAAAAGAGACCACATTCTCCAACCTTTTTTGAAGGTAAGGGTGATCATACAGCTACATTCAAGCCAAAAGACTGAATAGAAAAAATACATGTAAAATATCTACGTGTAACCTAAGAGAATCAGTATGCCCTCCATTTTTTATTTCTTCTCTTTGCTTAGAGGTGAGCCATCAGCCTTGCAAACTAGGGAAACAGTCTATCCTATATCCTAACCAATACATAGGTATTTTCTTTTAACAAAATTACATCTTGTATTTCTATGTTGTTAATACTTAGAATATTTATACTTCTTTTACTCCTGTAGGAGCCTAAATATTTTTATAAGCATTTTATACGAGTACTAGGAGTCAGATAGTTAACTTGAAAAGACGTCTTTGAAGAAATGAATTTTAATCAGTTATGAAGAGGAGGAAGGCCAAGAGGATATTAGAGAATAAAATAAAAATGTGAAGTATGTCAAAACAAATGGCTGATGGTACAAATAAGCCATGTGGAGAAAAGCAAAAAACGTGTCTGAGCAAAAATGTCTAGATGGGAGAAAAAAATTAATAAAACTGAAACAGCACCGGAAACAATTGGTAGAAAGTCTTAAAGGCCAAAAAGCAGTGTGGAATTGATATGGTTAGAAAGTCAGAGTAAAGTCTTCACTGAGAAGTATCTAGATGAAAGCAACTTCTTAGTGAGACTATCTCCACAAACACATAAAACAATAAGGAACAACTGGAAAAATGAAAAAGTTTCAAAGCTGGTGTAATAATAATCTACATTAGGCTCTACAAGCAGAAAGAAAGGTATTTTACAGAGTAAGGTAAGAAAGTATGTAGGCACTTTCTTAAATGACATACACCAAATACAAAATAGTTTACAAGTAAGCTGTTAAGTAAATAGTAAACTCACAGTAGTGATTTTTCCTTTTCTCTTGACTGGAAGAAATGGGCATGCTCTCACTTGGAGATCTTTAATGGCAGCAGTCATTGTATTATTTTCAAGGTCACCTTGCCAACAAATCTCACATTGTGTTGTAATGACTAAGGCAGGGGCATCATTTCTTGTCATATCAGCCACAAACACAATTTCAGGATTTTTAATAATAATATTAATTTCCCACTTCTCTGATTGCTGTACAAGTACTAAAATAGAAATAAAAACAATGTTTTAAAATAGTTATAAATCTTTCTTATATACATTACTTATGAAAAATTATTATTTATAGGAAAATGTTACTTTCATTCTAAGTAAAAAGTAAAATAAAAGAATCTTAGGTCCCAAAGGAATTTACTGCAACTCTCTTGGTATAAGATTTAAAGAAGGTATAGCCTTAAGATTATTTCAAAATGTAGGGAA